GCGAGGCTTCAAGAGTTTTTGACATTAAACTGTAGTACATACGAAACAATTATTCACCACCCGTGGTTCGGTGAATAATATTCATATAGCTTTGAAAAGAGTTATATTTGTATGTATAATATTATCGTTATTATTAACGATGGTTATAATAACTTTTGGGTCTACATGTACTCTGACCATCCATTCTAATTTTATTACAAAGTGCGAGAAACCCGTGAAGAACCTTTTCGCCAGAATTTGTATAATTTCAACACGAAACATTTTCATCCGAATTTGACGCAAGCTACTATTCTCCAAAGGATCTATTTTAACATTCTTCTGAGAAAGAGGCAGCTGCTTTTCAGACAGTAATTTACATCTCTAAAAGCAGAAAGTAGGCTCTTCTTTATATATTGGATATTGTAACAGAAATCTGTTATGAAACAACTTAGATGCCGGTTTTTTTCTTTCAACTATCATCTGATCAAAATTCCTTAAAGTAATCAGTAGGGCTAAAATTCATAGGAGCGTATCATAAGTAACCCTGTTCTCAGAAAACAGGCAAAATCATCCGAAGTTTGCATCCATATTGGCTACTTGCTACTGTTGAAGAAATACATCTTGGTAATCAATCTTTCCTGATAATAACTTTTCCCTATATACTTTTACTTATCTATATCTAGATAAAAGCCGTTTCATCAATTTCGTTTGCAGAAGATTAATTTTCCTAGCCCGATTTGTCTACTGATTTCGAGAAAGCTGAACGGGTGGTGTATACATTCGTATCAATATTCAGTAAACTATTTTAGTTAAAATATAGACCCAAACTAAAATCAAATTTGGATATCGCACAAGTTATCAGAATTTAACTTGTGAGCACAAATGCCGGCAAAAAGTTTAAACTAAAGTCAATAAAGTGTGTTTGCCTTTCCTGGGCCATTATATGTTTTATCGAAACGGATCAAAGTAGTGAATGTGGCTGTGGGCCTTCTTGATACCACAATCATAGTATGGCTAATTGCTGGGCTCAGACAAGCCGACGTAAATAAATGGCAGTATGGAGGAAAGAACAAAATTCACATCATTGATTTTGAGCATAATGGAATGCATTCTAATGATTTTGACACGATCAGTCCAGTGTTCACCATGTTGGGATTGATATTCGAGTCCAACTAACCCTCTTACCCAACAACGAACATTTACGGCGTAAATTAATAGCGACGCTCCACATATAATTTGGAAATGAATTAGACAATTTAACTTACTAAGTCGCCGGTGAACTGGGGAAGAGCGCCATATTTATGTGAGGTAACTGAAAGCACATTGCAGGGAGGAAAACGGATTAAGTTTGTTTATCAGTCGGTTGACTCGCTCTACAAGCTTTCAACATTCTGACCATTTCTAGTGGTCCGCTTTTTCAAACAATGTAACCATAAATTGCAACTGATTAATTTTATGATCAGGTACTCTTCATTCTCACTATTCAGAAATAATTCATGAGGGATCCGGCAGGTGAATTTTTCTGCTTAAGACAATTTTTTCTTCCTATATTAATGGGAGATTCAAAAGTAATAATTACGACAACTTTTCCTTTGATTTGGTTGGTGCGCAACCCATATTTTCTTAGCATACTTGTTCGCTGATCTCCGGAGTTCAGGAGCCAATCGGAGAGACAAATTTAAGAAGCACGTGTCTTCTACTGGGATATAGTGATATTGCTTTAAGCAAATATTTAGTCGATGTTTGTCAGAGGCTGTATGTCTGTCGCGAACATTAAGCAATCGCTTGAGTGTCCGGCTATTTTGCGGGCGATATATGCATGTTTTATTTAACAATTAATTTTTCAATGTCGCGGTTGCTGAAAAGCATAGGATTCACATGCACACGTTTCTCCTCGGAAACTAGAATTCAATAAAATGGCCAGACTTTAGTGGCACGAGATATTAATTTCTTTAGGCTGAGATTTCAGTTTTTTTTTTTTTTTTTTTTTTGTTTGTGGTTTTTTTTTACTAGAACGCCTAGCAAACAGACCCAAAAGCATGCAACATTTCTAATAACTTTTTACTGAAAAAAAGAGAGAGGGAGATAATATCAATACTAATTTTTCAAATGTCTATTGCTTATTGCATAAGTAAGAACTTACGAAATTGAAAGGATGGATCTAGATTGGTATAGGTAATAAGAAATCTGCCAAAAAATCAACACTTTGACTATAGAAAGATAATTTAAAATGGAGTAACGTTTGTAAATTTAGCAGGGTGTTTATTACTTGCTAGTTAAATAAAAACACCTGTTTCATTCATTTCATGTTTTTGGCGTCTGATTAACGTTTTGATGACTCTCCAGTTCGCAAAATAAACTTTGAATTACATCAGTAGGGAAGGTTATCTCATACACGGGATTGTTTTATTTCAGACGCCTATATTACCTTATGTACATGTTAATAAAAACTGACCACTAGCAAATATTTTTTAAATCCGATTCTACTGGTCGGGTAGCATTTATTCGAATTATACTACGCCCAGGAAAGAGTTAGAATGTATTCAGATATAGGCACCCTAAAAAGAAAACGATGTTGTATCTAGAAAAAGGTATTCATTCCTAAAACGCAGCGTGTACGAGATGTATATAAAACTTTAGTACAATTATGTCTGAGTGTCTGGAAGGACGCGACCTACAGCGTTTCTTCTATTTGCAGAATTCGTAATTAGTATCAAAGTCATAAATACACATTCAATTATTTGCTTAATATGAAATGGCTAGGAAACTGCTTTTTTCTATCAAATCGACGCATTTTGGAAATCGAAGCCTACTCGAGAGGAAGAGAGCGCGTTCCCGTTGGTAACATCCGACAAAATTAGAAGGTAACACGCCACAGGGCCAGTAAACAGGGCTTCCGTATAGGAATTGGACAAAATGAAATGGCAAATGTAAAACAAAAGAGAAAACCCAACAATTAAAATACACCAAAAAGACAAAAATAGGAAAAACGAAAATGCCGGCGAGGGGTAGCTTGAGCGTTCCAGTCACTAACCACTTAAACTGAAGAGTGTTCGCAAGATTTTAAACGCGAAGCAAAGTGAAAACGAAAGCATAACTGAAATAGTCCGGAAGCCAGTTAATTTCAGTGTAATTGCATAATGGATAGAACATAAGTTCCATTTCATCACGTTTCACCCGCATCACCAATGTTCGAAAAGTTCCAGCTGTAAGGGAAATGCCAGAAAATAGGAATAGGAGGTAAAAATTGTTTAATTTGCTCAAGGTATTTTTTTTTCGTTTTAAGGTTTTCCACAAGAAATTACACAAATTGGCATGACGATAAGCATTGTGTGTCAGGCAGCTTTTTCTATATTACTAGGTCGTATTCTAATGTGAAGCTCATATAGTTTGAGTGTTTAGACACCCTTGTGGCCGCCATACGACAGTTATTTGGCCATAAGGAGATGGCAACAAGAATAAAACAATTCCAAAACACGACAAAAAATACAAATGCCGGCCCAACAACACAAGTCGGCAAAAAAGGCGCTGGCCGAACAGCCTTGATTCATTCAGTGAAACTGCTAACGTAAGTTAGAAAAAGGACTAAAGAATCCTTGTTCTGCAACTTGAATTTTTCACACAAACTATATGAGGATGATCGTAAGAGGTAATTTCAGTGACTTTTTGTTTCCTTTCTCCTTTTAAAACGTCTTTAGAAAACCAAGATTTAAATTTACCACCTTTTTGTCGCCCTACCAAAGTTTAAAGAACATTTGAATGCCGTTTATTTGATGTTTCCACGCCTGTGCAAAGCGAATTTGACATCTCCCTGTAATCTCTCATCAAAAAGTACGAAAAAGTAAGGCGAGACTCGGTATTGATTCTATCATGCACATCTCCTAAACTACCACAACATAATTGATATCCTTCTCAAAAATTTACTTTTCAAAGACATTCTGATCAACATTGTGGTAAGCAAGGCCGTTTAATAAGTTTACATTACAGCATTTTTTCGATAGCCCTCACTCGTTTTTCCCTTTGAAAATTCACACCGAAGTTTTGTTACACTTGAATCTTTGCCAACTTTTTACCGCTTTCAGGAAAGCGTTCTTCTGATATCATTGGTGATTCGGAGAGACGAGGCTTAGGGGGTGAATATGGCTTTCCTTACGTAAACATGCATTAAGCCTATTGCTCCATGAGTAAGGAGTTATTGTTATTTCCAGCTGTGTAGCGGCCCTTGCGGACGAGTTTGATCAATTATTAATTGGGTATAATCCATAAAATCCCGGAGATGCATATGCGGTTTCTACGACAAAATAAAAGTGACAGAAGTACTCATCTGGCATCAGGTATTTTCACTGGGAACCATCAATGTCACCAAAGCCTTCAATCCCACGGCAATCATTGTTATTAGCGGTTGCTGGTGCATTGCACTAAAAATGTAGTGATATTTACAAAGAGTAGCAGGTAACTGTGCGTCTCTTCACAACAATTAAACAAACAAAATAATTTCATGAGCACACAATACCTGTAGCCTAAGGAATGAGACACATTTTCCTTTACGTCTTGCAATTTACCTATCCAATCTAAGTATGACAAACCAGAATAGCAATTATATATTTGGTAAGATAAACGTTCCTTTCATTTTATACTTTACATACACCTATTGTCAAAAAGAGGAAATCGACTTCGGAAGCCGTAGAGTAAATATCATTATAACTTTGAATATATCAAATGTATACTTGAATAGTTATGTATAAATTAAATTAAGACTTGATCAGTATTAAGCTTCAACAAAGGTGTTTTCCCTTACAGTGAAAAGCTCTTAAGGCAAGGAAAGAATAAAAACAGCATCAATGTTCTTTGTTTAACGATATCCTCATCAGCTGGAGCATCAGTAAGCCGACGGTGCGTGCCTTCAGCGTTTTTAGGCGGTTGTTATTCTTCATCCAGATTATGATCTTTCTATTCACGTTAAGGCGAGCGAGTTTGTTTATTCCATAACTGTTTTTTTTTTAGGTTAGCAAGAGGTTACAATGCATCGTACGTTCTTGTGTATTTATTTCATGGCATGGTATTTAAAGTTATATATAGCAGCTTCACCTTCACCGGACAGGTACTGATTGAATTCAATTTTTAGCGTATATGTTTTTTTCGAAGCTAAGAGATCTCAGCCCATCGTTTAGACTTATAGAAAAGTAATTGAAAAGTACATAAAATGGCATGGAGTAAAAGGTGTCAATTTCAAGGTAGGTTTAGATTACGGTTATTCCCGTGAATTTGTATTTATTTATTTGCCACATTACAAAAAAAGTTAATAAGGAAACATGATGAGCTTAGATAAATACAACGCGTTCATCGAGAAAACTTTAACTTATAAGGTTTTCTCTCAAAGAATTAAACTCCGAACTTAGTGATACATAACATCGAACAAGGAGCTGAGATTTTGAAAAAGATGGGTTGCCTATGATTGCCTTTTCCACCCCTGAAAATGTATTCAAACATGTGGTTGCATTGAGATAAGAAAATGAAAGGAATTTCAAATTAATATTTAATGTAGAGTTTAAACATGTTAGGAGAAGAGCGGATGTAAACACTGCGCTAAACCTGTTGGAGACGTCGCGAACTCCTTGTGTTTTTCACATTGAGCCAAAATTTTCAGTGCAAAAGTTTCAAATAAAGTTGAGATAACTGTTTCGATGCGTAGAGAAGTTCAACAACTGTGTTGAGAATGTTCCGATTCATGGCTTAAGTGCTAAGTTCATGATGACGCACCTCCATTTCAGTTAAGAAACGAAAGCTCGAAAGAAAGTCGACTTACCAGCGATTTTGTAAAACAAAAAATATGTCCTACTCCCCACAAAAAGCAACGTTCAATCAGCTTAACCCGGCACAGATTTTGGCTGAAGGACAAGCCTCCCAGTGAGCTTTTCGCTTAGCTTCTGTAAAAGCACCAATTTCGCGTGCGTGTGTGTGTCTCGTTGTGTGATATGTGTCATGAGTGCAGTTGCATGGGGAGAATTGTTTTAATCTACTTATAAAATATAATTAATACTCTCCTCCAACAATGAAATTTCCTTGAGACCTTTCGATAATTATGAGTCATCTAAAATACATGCCGTGAAACAAAAGCATCGTTTGCATAAAAATACATCTTGAAACAATTTTCGTTATCCTTATTTATATTTTTATACCTAGGGAAAATAAAAGTATGCATATGTTTCATTTATTCCAGATCACTTTAAAATTCTTTTTTTTTTTTCGGTTTCGTTTTTCATTGAAGCTACAAGAGCACTACAGAGACTATGAAGAAATTATTTCACGAGGATCACTATGATAAACGGCTGAGGCCTTTTCACAAAGGTAATGGATCTCTATCTTTAGAGAATTTCCAATCGTTTCTTCTTATTTTATGACGCTCAGTATCACTGAATATACTCTCTAAATTAGTTCTAGATGAACATTTTGCTTAATTTTAGCAATGAAACACACTTCATATCTGCCTTCCCTTCCTCTATGTGCATGTATGGGTTTTTAAAATCCTATCACTACACCACGTCAGTTACCGAGACACGTCAAAGACATAGAAGAACTTAAAAACAAATAGGGCGCGGTTTTTGAGATTAAGTACACCAACGGTCAAGCCTCCTACATCGGAAAGACTAAAAACTTCACAGCAAGACTGACTGAACACGACTGAGCGACGAGAAAAGGGATTTCAACAATCAAATGCCGAACATCATCGACTTACGAACTACGCTATTGACTGGGACCATGCGTAATGCCTAACCTACAGCACTATTTGTTTTCAGCGACTGAGTCTGGAAAGCTGGTTTTCAGATTCCCCTGAACAGAACAACCTAACAATACCGACGGATCGAAACTAGCCAATCCCGACTGACCCACGTGAGTCTCGTGGCCGATCAAAAATCACGAGTAAACTCACAAATCAGTTAACACGAACGGCGTAATCGGACTCAGTACACTCGAGTCACAACAACCCGGCTTCGGGTCGTCGTTACTTCAGTCACTATTACCGATAACAGGCCTTCTCACGACTTACCCTGAAAATCAGACTATACGATCAAATGTTCTTTCTTTTCATTAAAAAAAATGTTCAGTTTTTGAAGTATCATATTCTTCGCAGGATAAGCGAATATTTTTTTCCTCAACATAGGACCACCACTGAATATTACGATAGACATGTCCGTGGTACATTTCGGAAAAGTGAGGGAAATTGATATGGTAAGTAACGGATCAGGAGCTAAAATAAATTTTCAAAATCACCCGCCTCAGGCGCAAAGTTTTTACCCGACCATTTTCATTGACTGTAGCAAGAAATAGACCACCGTCCCATCCTGAGGGAGATTTTGTACTTTACTTATCGTATGTTAGAACATGCCGTTTTTCTTGGAATCTGAAATTTTAAAAGTTCGCAGCATATTTGGTGCAATAGTCGCCTTTTTTGAGCGAAAAATAAAGTTTACCTATGTTGAATGAAAAAAAAAACAAACAAACAAAAACAAAACAAAACAAAACAAAAAAAACGGTTGATCGTTTTGAAGTCAGAGAAACCCTTTATGTTTGTACTGCAGGATTTCTCCGTTGACGTGTTCTTTCGTCAGTACTGGCGAGACCCGCGCTTGAACCACACCCTTGAAGAGCCAATTTTCTTGACAGGATCTTACAGAAATCTTATCTGGCTGCCGGATACCTTTTTTCTCAATATCAAGACAGCCAATTTTCACAACGTACCAGCTGATAACAGCAGAGTAAAAATTAGGACTGACGGTCAGGTCACTTGGAGTTCAAGGTAACGAACACCAGTTACTCAAAGACAAATCGAAAAATAATTTTCTATATGTGCGTATACATTATGACCCTTAGACGCCAAACCTAAAACTCGAGACACTATAATGCGCAACTCAAATAGAGAGGGAAGCTTTCCTAGACTATTATGTTGAGAAATTGCAGAGTGAAAACTTGCCAATTATGAAAATAAACTACAAAGTCAAGAATATTATCCCGCTCTTACAACTAAATGTAGAAGATATACCCAAAGTAGGTAAATGACTTTAACTAGATATGTCATCTTAACAAAACAATGACACTCAAAAATAAAAAAAAGAGAAAACTTATATAGTTACTGAATTTATAAATTTCTTGCAGGATAACCATGACAGCAAACTGCCAGTTGGATCTGAGGGACTACCCACTGGACAAACAGTCTTGCAACCTGACACTTTTAAGCTGTTGAGTAAACTTTTTTTTCATTAAACAAGTTCTTCCAGGAGATTTAAATGGATATTTTGTTGACATATTAGGCCAAATTTTCTAATCAGTGAAAAGATCCAGGCTACAGTCACTCAAATTCATGACGAATAGATTTAAATCTGATATCGACATCTTATCGCCAATTCGCACCTTTTTATTATATGTTTGTGATAATACTTAAGGAGACAGTTCGCAGTCTAACAGCCGTATGTGCCCTTTAGATGCTTATCCGATTGAACAAGTCGACTATTTTTGGAAAGACAAAGATAAGAAAGGTATCGTCATTCTTGAAGATGAAATGAACGAGTTTACTTTGAGAGACATCAAGACCAGAAGGGCGATAGTACTTTATGGGACTCGCGGTTCAAGTAAGTATTCGCACTCAGTTTGTTCGTCAAGTTATGCAAAGAAGTTGATGAGGAAAAACATGTTAACAATGAAGAGAATACAATTCACATGGCAATAGTCTTTTTTATTTTTTTCGCAAGCGTAGCTGTGGGCATTAACCTGACGGAGCATTTTTTAGGTCGCTCGATCGTTTGGTCAATAGTCAGGAACTAGTGGTCGCCTTGCTGCTTATAAAAATTAATTTCTTGTAAAATGCAGTTGTATGAGTACACAGAAATGATTAAACTACATTTTTTCTTTTTGTTTCGACAAGATTCAGACTATACGCACCTGTGGGCAGAATTCACCTTTAAGCGCCGTCTTGGATATGCCTTCATCCAGATATATGCACCGACAGTTCTGATAGTTCTCCTCTCCTGGCTAAGTTTTTGGATCGCACAGGACGCAGTTCCAGCTCGTGTAGCCTTGGGAGTTACAACAGTCCTAACCATCGTAACACTTATGGGCTCTTTCCGGTCTTCAGTACCTAAGGTGAGGGCAACAGGGTTAAGAAAATGGCAGAAATCCTGTCCTCGTGTGTTTAACTCTGCGAGTTGGACAAGGCCTTATTTCGAAGCTAATTAGCATATTACATTTCCAAAATACATTGCTTACAAACGAGCATTTCTTTTAATTGCATCATTATTATTATTATTATTATTACTATTATTATTATTATTATTATTTTTAATATTTCTATCATGATTATGTATTTTTTAATGTGCATGCATCAAGTTGCTGGGATACTGCAGAATTATGTGACAATCATTCATCTATATTTATTGGTATGCTTTGAAGAACTAAAAGTGTGGCTATTTTCAAATAACACGTAGTGCATACTAAAAACGTTTTTTAGCACAATGATCTTCACTGCAAAAGAAGAGCGGCATATATTAAAAAACATGCACCATATATGGCGCATACTCCCCTCGATCTAGCATTTGATGCGCCAAAGTTTCTTCTACCAAAAAGCATATGATCTTAATATTCTCAAAATTTTGATTTTCAGCGTTGTTAATGCCTGCAAAGCATTTATATACTGATTGTTCCATATTTTCACACTTCCATTTCATTTACTAGAATATTTTTACACTGTTTGTCTCTTTAGCTTTGCTCAATCAAAAAAAGAAAAAAAAATCATAAAGAAGTTGAAGTTGTGGTACATACCGCTAAGTAAAAGCATATACGGGAACTTTAGAGGGAAATACTACATTTTAACAACTTCAGGTGTTGCAGATAGCAAGAGTTATTGAAATGCAAAACTAATTTAAACCAAACTACGTCGTCATCGACGCTTGAAAGATCTTTCAAGCGTCTTTTCAAACAGGAGAGTGCCCTTGTAACTTTGAATGAAATTTTCCATACATCATTCCGTAGGATCTGTTGTAAAACTCACATGTTCATGCTCAGCGCGTGCATAGTCCAATCCGCTCACCGCTGCGTCATGCAATAATAGAGTGATTTAGCAAGAGGACGGGAACGTCATTTCAGAGCGGGAAAGCGCGCGGATAGTCAGGACACGACTCTATTTCGACTTCCGGTGTTAGCGTTGCCGTTCTCCCCAACAAGTTCAGGACGTCATCACGCTGGTTTTCCCGTCGCGATCAAAACGCCTGGGATTTGCGTAAATTTTGCGCTTATAAACGAGATAATGCTGTTTGGAATTATTTCAGAACTCATTTCCAGGATAACCTGATCCCTTCCTTTGGTTTATTCGGTGTATTTTTGGAAAATTTACCGCTTCATTTGTGCTGAATTCCCGAAAGGAAACACAATAGTTGGCAAGCGCCAGATTCAAGATTTTAGGACTCAGTATACTTGTAATTGAGCAAGGCTTAAAACAGCGAAAGGGCTCTTCTTTGATACATTTCTTTAATCCTGTGTGGAAACTCTAAGAATGGGACGCTGTTAATTTTATCATGAATCAATTCATCAATAAATTAAACTTGCTTCACGTTGAAGTTTATCAAAATGAAATATCACGACGCTTACCTACTGTATTATTCAGTGTTATTTGTTGTTATTGTCGTTTTTACCGTGATTGAAGAAAATTGAGAATAACTCAGGTATGCACTTTTCAATGTTTGAAATTTTTGATCGGTGAAAACTAAGCAGGAAAGTCATGCTCTCGCTTCGAAATAAAATGACAATCAACTTGATTTCGGCACGGCATTCTAAATCTATTAATTTGATTCAGTCTTGAACGACTTCATTCGTTTAAAAAAATAATTAAATTAAACAAAAACGAAAAAAATAATAAAACAGGAACGAAGTCTTACTCCTTAGTCTAACCGTTTAGTTGGTGACTAGTTTGAGTTAATTTCATTCTTTCACGAATAAACAGGAACTCATCGTAGACAACTTCATCGTTGGGTCGCCTGATTTCTACATGGTTTCGCCATAACTTCTGATAATTCCGTTCAAAATGTATTTCAACTCTAAGAAGGTGGTGCTCAAAAGGGATGTACTGTCATAATTGAGAAGAATATTCAGTAAACAAGGGAGAAAACGACGACGATTTCCAAATTATCCTTTACAAAATTATGAAGAAAAACGAGTACTGCTGAAATCTAGTAGCACGAAACGAAATAACAGCGACACAAATCATAGAAAAAAAGACTATTTAGTGGGCTTCAAAATTTGATAGATGAATCAGCAGACTTGAGACTAAACTGAAATGGACTAGTTTCAAAGTTTAATCGCCCATGTGGATTCATAGTTATCAACTTACTTGCCGTATCTATAACTATCCTCTGTTTGCGCTTGTTACATAACTCTCAAAGAAGATCATTTCGTTGTCTTTAGAATGGTCTATAAAACCGAAAATTCAAAGGTGATGGTGATCTTTATAAAGCCGAGGTGATGATTCTCGTTGTAATGACTGCTAAATCACTTTTCAACACAACGCGACGGCATTCTCGACCCAGTTTTTTATCGACATTTCTGCTGCGCGCGCCGTTCTGAAATGACGTTCCCGTCCCCTTGCTAAACCACTCTAATGTCGCGCGAGCTACATAAACATATTCGTCTCTTCGAGTCAGACAACAACAGGAAAAGAGTAAGAGCACAGAGCTAAGCTTTCTTTCCTCGTTTCCTCTTCTAGGTGTCATATATCAAGGCCATCGATGTTTACTTCATAATATCTTTCTTTTTCGTGTTTGGCGCGGTTGGAGAATACGTCATCGTGCGTCTTCATACCGAAAGAAAGCTGAAAGGGCCCCAAAAAGAGAACAGTATAGATATGGAAATGATACCTCTGAAACAGGTAACATGAAAATGTCGTTTCAAAAATGATCAAATTGTTATTGCCACCATCAGGCTATCCGCACATAATTATTCGTGTACAATAACCTTTCCTCTTGTGACAGTGGCTCAGTGGGTAGGGAAAAAGCCAGATTAAAAAAAAAAGGGGGGAGGGGGAGCTGGTAGAGTAATAGGGTTTGGATAGTAATTTTTTTTTCTCCCAGAACTTTGGCGTAAATTTGAGACTTTCAACCCCACGTAGAGCTGTAAAAATTTTCGCAGTTTCTGAGCTGGTTGGGAAGAAACAGGAAGCAGCCGCCAAAGAATTGTATTACAAATCACTTTGATCATCTTCGTATTTGCAAAAACTGTTTTTCAGGACAATGGCGAAACATCACCAAGACGCTGTGAGGAAGACGACAAGTCTGATAATGAGAAAGACTTTGAGCGTTCGCAAAGCGGCAGCATTGGGGCCCTCGGGAAAACTAGGGAACTCGTGAAGTTTGCTTTTCTGGAGAGTGATGCAAGCATCGTCGATCGCGTCTCTCGTATATTATTCCCTGTTGCATATCTTGTTTTCAATATTTTTTATTGGTGCTTTTACTCCGTTATTAGTTTCGAAGGCGAAAAGGAGTAGAAGAGTCCAACATCCCACAAGTTTTCTCCCTTCGTCTTAATCTCCAATCTGATTAGCTTCGCATGCGCTTGAAAGTTTTTTCAACTGATATCGATTAAATCGGTGGCTAAGGCTGCGTGCATCGCCAATTTTCAACACATATATCACCGAATGAGAGATATGCACTTTATTATGCTCATACTAGGATTGACAAAAAAATATTGCTTTGATTTAAGGCGACATGTTGTGGCCTCTAAGGAAATGTGAACTAAATGAAAGCTCAGCCAATTCTAAAGGAATAAGGTATAAATGCTTATATCTTTGGATGCTTTTCTGCTGCTTGTTCGCAGTAATTCATTCTTGGATAGCTCAAAACTATCGTTAATATGTTTAATATATACTTGGGTAGAAAAACTCAAAAGGAGTAATTTTGAACTAGTAGGGACTTATGTCGAAGGGTGGAAAAGATTTTTCCGGATTTTGAATTGAAAAGTTTAGAAAAAATGCATAAAATGGATAAACTGTGACGTAGTCATTTAAAAAAATAACAAATAATAATTGCCTTCTTTCAGATGGTAAGGAAAGATAGGAAAACAGAGTCTTTTACAGCCCTTAATCGCAATTTGACCAAACATTGTTAGACCATAAGAGTGTGATTTTTCGGAGCGAAAAACTCCGTTGTTTTGACGTAGCAGTTGCTACGAAAGTTCTCTGGGATTGTTTCTTGCGTTTGAGATAAATGCAGCCTTATTAAATAGATACTTATTCTACAAAAAAAAACATGACTTTTAAGGAGGCCTACCAACCACAAACTCCCAAAGACATATGCCGTATTTGCCATGCCAAAAGTATCACTCATAAAAAGTCGAGATTGATTCAACTATTTATTTTTATTAGTTATTTGTAGAGTCAAATATTTGATATACTTCAATTGCATAAGAAGCCCCTAGATGGAGAAAAAAAAAACCCGACCTTTCATTTAATCAAAATTTTCCGATATAGTTGGGACCATCGATTGTTACGAGGCTGAGACTAAAGTTTCAAGCAAACGATTAAAGATTAGTTAATACTCAGGTGAACGAAAACGAAGAGACTGGTAGAATACGCAATTAAATTCATGTGCCAAAATACTTTCGATTCAGAAAGATATGGTAATAATCAGTTCTTAGCGGTTGGTTAATTAACATTCATTGTCACTGAAGTGAGAGTTTATACTGATTTTAGAGTGCAATTGTTTAAAGTTGTAATCAAGATTATGTTTAGCGTGATTTATCAAGAATTATAACATAGCTGTACATGGTCTTCTTGAATATCCGTTATTTAACAATCAATTCTGCTCGTAAACGAAGGAATGGAGGGCACACACATACTAGTAGATTTTACTGCATTACAGTCTCATATGATCGTGTGTGCATCTACGTGTAGTAACTAGCTTGAGCAGAACAAGAGTCCGACATTATCGGCAATAAGGGAATGTAAGCATATATTCTAACAAATAAAATAACATTGTTATGAATGTTAATCTTCAAACGGTTTTCCTTCACGTTATTTACTTTAGTTTTATCCCAGATTCTGTCAGCGTGAGTTCTGATTTATGCATGACCAAAAATGATAAATTTGAGAGATCTTTAAAGTGCACGTTACAAAACACGTTCTACGCTCACTACATCAACAATATTGAGTACATTTTGTTTATTTCGTGATAACAACTGAGAACTTGTCGCCCTGAGGTGGCGACAAAGAATCTCTAGACATCCTTTTTAATTGAAAAATGTATAGACAGAGCAGATAAAGACATAAACAATGTGTAGCCACAGGCAAATTTTATTATAAGATAATTTGCTCTAACTGTGAAGAACTGTTTCAATGCTAGCCTCAAGGAAACAAAATTGATTTGGAGTCAGCTCGATCGAATGAATAAAACGTTTGAATAAGTAACGTGAAACAAGAAAAAAAGCAGCTGAGTTTATGAGAAGGATAATGAATAACTAGAAGGACAATTGATTAATTTTGATAATAATTGTGCCAGAATCAATATCTTCACGTGACATCAAATATAGGCGTCACAGGAATTCGCTTTACTCTCAAACAGGAAAGGAGTTATCTATTTCGGCAATCTGTTCCTTAGCTGTTAGTATACGTGGATCGCAAAGCGTCAAAGCAAGGGTCTAACCAATTGTAAAATCCTGGTATTTCACGGAGAAATATCGTCAGGTGAGACTAGATCTAATTTCTTCTTCTTATAGCATGAAATTGCCAAATGGATTGAGTGTGTTACATAGTCCTTAAATAAAGCGGGTTCTTTTGTTTGAAATTTGTAGTAAAATGGCGTCAATGCAGTTCCTCTGATCTGTTTTCAGTTTGTCTACAATACATTTCATTAACAGTTTCCTGACATAATCGAGAACCAAGCCTTCCAGTTTTCTTGAGATGTCATAAGTTGTGAAGTGATAAAAAGAATTTCGTGGTCGTCGTCCATAAATTGTTAATTACAACAATTACGAGTTGACAATCATGTTAAACTCTTCCAATTAAATGTCAGAGTCTAACTCATCCCTATATCATCGACTAAACGAATATATCTGTCCACAATTTCACATCCTTATATTGTAACAGGTCAGATTATGTAGAAGACTTGCTAAATGCTGCAACCAATTGAAGTTGCTATAAAGCCACAGAGATAGCTGCAATCACCGAGGAAAAATTTTTTTTTCGTTGTTTCGAATACATACGTTGAGCTATAATTTATATTGGTAATATCGATGGCCCGTTAGGTAATTCAAATGTTTAAGTATATTTCCGCGCGAAGAGCTGAATCGGCCCATACCTTATTGAATCAATTATAATCCAAAGCAAGATCAACTCACAAAATTTGCTTTGCATTAGCAATTTTCGGCGTCCTTTCATCGGCCGACATTTTTGATAATTACTTTCTAACTCAGTATTTGTCTTAGTAGTTCTCAAAATGGAAAAAATGGTACTGCGACGGATTTGGTTGTGATCTAGCGGAAACAAGCTCTTAAAATGTAACATAATTTGTTTATTCTAGCATTTAGGAAATACATTCTGGCCAGCTATTGTTACCTAAAGGAGAGCATGAAAACAAATGACACAGCGCACGAAAAGGATTGGGTTATGTCAAGTTGCAGCAGTAGGTGAAACTTGTAGTTCTAATAGCGTGGTCCTAACTACTGCATATTAATGGTTATCAGAAACAATAACGAAAGAACGAGCAAAACGTCTGTTCACTTACACTGAGACCTTCCCAAACTGAACATCAAAATATCAGCATTGCATTTTTTTAAGATGTTATGTAATTCCTCCCGAGATTTTTAGCATTCTGAGTTATAAACAGGGTTTTTTTAAAAATAGTTTTTACTTTTGTATACATGCAATAAATTCAGCGAACGATGGATTAGTTCTGATGGCACAAATTGCAAATTTTCTTTGGTAACGGTCGGTGCTCAATTGATCAGAGTGGGAATCGTTACGAAGCAACACTTCATAGTACGCCCCTGCTTGTTTGGGGATGTTATCTTTGGTTAATTAAAATTAATTAGCTCTTATGTTTTAACCAGTTTTTAGATTTTATGGTAATAAACATAGAATCTTGCTGTTAGCATAATCACAGCAGATCACCACAGCTAGTAGTTTTTTCAGATTTATACGAAGGTGGCTGAGCGAACTTGAGGACGTTACGCAGGAAAACCTCTTGAAGATATGCGAAATGTGAGAAGAGATTTTTAAAACAGGACATTCTCTGAAATAATATGAGTGAATTGAAATCAATTCAATTTTACTATAAATTTGATAACAAGGTAGGCAAATTCAATTTATTTTTTCAACTCTTCAGTTAGTTTTCCTTGGCACCATTGTTAAATCATCAAAGGGGTCTTTTTGTTATATGAAAGGTAAAAAAATGTGTTCATCAACGGAAGCAAAATTTGAGTTATGTAACCGACATTTTACTTCGTTATCACATTGTTATATTTTTACAAGTCATTGCATCCGATGAAACCATGTGAAAAACCAGCAATTTTCGCCGGCAAACGTAAAGATCATTATAAATTAGATGTATGTTTACATAAGTAGTTTTTGTGTACACTTCTGTCAAAGTTTCCCATACAAGTTCTCTAAGCAGATGTGTTTGAAGTCAAATAGGTTACAATTTGCATTTAAATCTTTCAATTTCAGAGATAAGGAAACAGGTTAACTGTTGTTGACATGGTAATGTCCGTTGTTTGGTATTTATCATAAATGAGAAAAATCCTCTGCGGTTTTAGTTTCACCTCTATATCATCCGTCATTTCGCGCGTTACATAAGCCACAACTGCAACAATAGTCAAACAACCGTTATCAAAGTCTGCCGGCTAGACATTGTTTTTTCCTCAACTAGTTATTTATTAATGGTGAAATTAAGTATGTATTGTTTTGCAACTTGTAGATTTAATTTCATTTTAAAAAGACTGTTCTTGATTGTTATCAATCCACACACAAAATTGTCTCTCGCACTAGTAACGTGCTATTGAAGCATTTTTCACCGTCTTCTCTTACACTAGGAGAGTCTTGTTGGGCAAACATCGTGAGAATATCCTCAACGTTTTATAAACTGACTAGAATTCACTAATACTGATATTGCGCAATGTATTTCTAAAGTTTAACGGTTTTCGAGAAGAAAGTGGAGGACTCGCGGGAGCTAATGACAAACTCGTCATGAATTTCAAAGGCATTGTCTCTTAAGGTAAGTGAAACAATTCCCACTTCAGATCTGGCTTTACTTTGTAGGAATTCAACTCTATTTACACATATCTGCAGAATTCCCCTGCAACAACAAATAACTAATTACGTATCGTCTTGTATCATGAAAGGAATACCCATTTCCGTTGACAACTGCCCACTAGGAGAAATTCATCATGGTTGCTGCAGTTTTGTCCTCACCATATTACTTTATCGTCGACGATACTCGTACGAATTTGTCGAGTTTCTAATGTTGAAGTTTAATATTGTGCAGATTTTAAAAA